AGCCATTGAAGACATGTCTTCCCTCTCAGCCAATAGCCCTTGCTCTGCAAGTCCCACTCACACCATCACAGATGGGAAACTGACTCCCAGGGCCTGCTCCTCCTGCAATTGCATCCAAATGGAAACTTGGTCCTTTCTGGCTTTGCAAGTCAGAAGAGTCCCTGTGCATTTGAGGATGGGGAACTTAATTGATTGTAACTATTTTTCTGACTTGTAAAAAAAATCCTAGTATCTATGGAACTGACACTCATAAATATAATTTAAATATCAATACAGTTTCTTGTTAATATCCTTTAACAGCTAATTGAAGGTTGAAGGATAATAAGAATTTAAGAAACTTTAGTAAGAAGAATTATTTCTAATGCAAATCCCTTCCTGCAGATAGAAGGCTCTATTTGGGCTTTTTCAGTCAGTGCCTGTAACTGTGGTATATGGGGCACCCAGCTTTGGTGAGAGGACCTGAGCAATTTTGGTTGATTCAGTCAGCACACATTTGTGGAGAAGCATCTGAGCAGGAGCTACTACACTGGTAAGAAAAGGAAAGCATGCACTTCTCCTAGTTTCTCCTGCTAGCATTGACTGATTAGTCCCTCCCACTTTCATTTCCTTCCGGGTAACTGCGCAGTCATTTGGGGTGAACATCCTGGCCTTTTTGTACTGAGAATGCATGTCACAAGGTTACAGTTACTATTTTATTTAGGTGTGCGAGATTCCTTGTCCCCCTCCCTCTGCCCTCCTTGTCCCAGCTTTTTATAATCCAGCCCTTACCTTTTTATTTCTTTGGGAGTTCCATTTGAGGGAATTATAAGGAGGAGAGACCAACATTAAATGTAGTGGAGAAGTGATGTTGTATTGTGATAGTTCAGGAAATATATGATTTTATGTTTGATATAAGACTGTGATTGGCTGATCTGTTGATTATTTTCAAATCTATTTTTATTGAGAATTCAGACATGTTTCAGCCTCTCTGTGGTGTTTTGAGTGTTAAGTGGTTTTATTTGCCAAGTACTTTGAAGTTCACTCGTGAAAGGCAGAATATTCAGATAAAGCAGTAGTACTGATTTCTTTTAAAAATCTTGAAGAATTCTGCACACTCAGAATAGGTTTGTACATTAGGAAAACAGGCCTGTGAGCAAAGAGGATTTTTTAAAAGAAAGAGGCCAACATGTGATTACTGTAATAAGATCTCTATTCTAAATAATCCACACTGTAATTTTATCAGGGATCAGTTTCTCCACTTTGCTTGTCCATGCAGATTTGTATCCAGCATTACAAGCCAGTGCACAGTACCAAGCAAAAAGGAATCTTGCTCTAACTTTGTTCCCCTTGTTACTATTTACTCTCATTTAAAAATTAATGACTTGGGTCTATGTGAAATGATTACAACCTTACTTTTATGTCTGGACAAGGCCCTCAAAATAATAATTTCAGCCTAGTTTCTGCTGTCAGAGTGAAGTATCACTTTATGAGGAAGTTGAGGAAATAATTTCTAATTTCCATCTTAAAAAAACCCAACCTACATTGTTGTAAAATACTGCATTGCTGGATTGTTCCCTACTGCAAAAAGTAGCCTACCAAATGCACAGTTGTAGATGACTGAAACCTGTTCTGATGCAGCATATATTCTGATGGGGGAGGGATGGAGGGAGTAGTTCACTTGTTAAGGCTATCATTTATCAAAACCGTAGTTCTTTTATTACTCACAGTTATAATTTTTCTATAATAAATTGCTTGGTTTGCAAGCTGCATCTTAAAATGTAATACATGTGGGTTTTTAAAGAATTAGTTTCCTTTCTGATTATGACACCTTCTTTCCATTTAAATCATGTAAATAGTTAAGACTTGTGTCGTAGCTAAGCTGATTCTTTCCCTGTTTTAAAAATAGAAAATGCTAGAGCAATCCTTCCCTTCCCCCACTGTGTACCTACTAGTCCAAGCTAGTAAATGTTACTGAATGGATTTCAATGTTGTAGCCATGCTACAGTAAGTACAACAAGATCCTTTGTGAAAACCTGAAAGGGCAAAAAAGTAGCTGGAAATCAAGTTGTGGATCTTTGTCAGACTCGAGCACCTGCACTGATGACACACAGACTTTGCAGGAGAAAAAAATAGCAAATTATGACCACAAATACTGCTATTCAGAGGAGCTGCTCTAACCAGAATCTCTCAAAAAGAAGCCTAGAAAGCATAGGGGAGTGTCCTGCGAAACGAAAAGCTAGCTGGGGTATTCTGACCAGCCAAGGTTAGTATAGCAGCCATTTCACAAGCTGGTGGCATACTGAAATATGCTAAATTGACCCAGTTTGCAATGTGCTAACTTTAAGCTGAATGTTGTCCAGTAATCTTATCTGTAATATAAATGCATGTGTATATTAATTAGTGCTACTGTATTATACTTGGGTGGGTTAATACAGAAGTACTGCAGCTGTTGTTATTGACTGTACATTTTGCAGTATACTTAACTCCTCTGCAGTACTTCACTTGTTTATCTGCTGTATTTGTTTCCGAGTGTTCAAGTCTTAACATGTATTCTAGCATGGAAGCAAAAGTCAATGTAACGTAATATCCATGGCTGATTGTTTACAAGAGGTCGGAGAATGGAAGGGGAGGAGTGATTTCTAAACTTGGAGGTAAGTGAGGTAGGAAATCCTGAAGGAACTACAGGTGACAGAGCCACTTAATCTTATGCTGAGGTTACTAAATGAAGTGTGTTAATATAAGGATTTGCCACAGATTGCCTGTAGAGAGGTAACAGCAGTGATGTAAAATTTGAAAACTATTTATGAAAATAAAAAAAATAGAAATAATGTGTGCATAAATTACCTGAATATTTATTCAGGGAAAGAAAGAAGAATAATTAGAACAAATATAAGAAAGAAGAATAAGTAGAACAACAGTCATGAGAACATGGTGATAATATTATAGAACTGTTTTCTTACATGATACGTAAAGAAGGAATTAGAGGGGAAAAAAATATCAGAGGTACCTTTGAGTACCATAAGCATAGGATTAGAATATTTTCAGAAATAGTGATCATACCCTATTTTGAGTCTAAGTAAGATGAAGAGAATTAAGGACATCAGCATTTAGCAGCATCACTTTTAGGAAATAAATTGGTAATCATTTATAAATGGAAATAGTGAAGAAAAATAGTTGAAATAGAAGAAAAAGGAAAATGGAAAATGTTCAGTGTTCTGTTAATATACATTTTGGAAAGAACAAAGGAGTGGAGTGATCAATAAATTAAATCATTAATTCCATTTGGCATAAAAGCATTAAAATACAGCTACAATTTGTAAAGATATGTGGTATACTTAAAATAATGTCATTTAAAATAAACTTTGATAGTGTTAAGTTTGAGATTTCAAGTATACAAGCAGAAATTCTACATTTCCCTAAAGAATGAAAAAAAAACGCTAATTCCTTCAAATGTACCTATTTAATAATAATAATATTTATAACATGCCCATTGGTAATACACACAGAAACTTTGTAACGTATAGATCAGTGATTCTTAACCAGCATGCCAAGGATACCTTCAGATGCTTTCAAGGGTCCATGGGATGTCATGCAATGTTAGCACCGTTAGGTGTGCAAACATGATACATATAATAAGCTCAGATATTTGAAATAGGAATCCGTAGCATTAAAAACATTATGATCTGTTGTGGTCTTTCTGAGTTTTTGCAACAGAATAATTGTTTTATTATTTGTAGTGAAGAAAAAAAAGTGAAAACGAAGAGCTGGCATTTTCCAAGGGGTCCCTTGAGTCTATCAGAGTTGCCTCAAGTCTAAAAAAGGTTGAGAAGCACTTGTATAGATATTTTGGATAAAATTATGTAAACACATAAGAAGAATATGATCTATTTGTTATATGTCACAATACTTCCCCAAAATGTCTGTATATTGAACCAAATGTAACCAATAGTTACATCAGTATGATATAATTAAATTCTATTGAAGAGCATAACTGCAAACCCCAGTGGTGCTGCTGTAGTCACTGCTTTTATTTGCAGCTTCCCCTAATATTGCTACACACTAAAAAAAAATACACTTTTTTTCTAGACAATAAAACTAAAACATGGACAGTATTCATTCTGTGCCTGGCATTTACTTGTTAGTTACATATGGAGAAATGTTGACTCCAGAACCCCTACTATTATATACTTTAACCTGTATTAATAAACTATGAAGGAGACTTATTTTTCTATAGTCTTATACTGTATTACCTTCTTCTGAGCCTGGGAAGTTGTGTATCAGGGTAGAATGGTTTAAATCAGGTAGAGGTGCACCGATACATTGGTGCCATATCGGATCAGCAACAATATAAGGAAAATTGACTGTATCAGCAATCGGCTTTTTTTGGATGATGTAGCCGATAATGGCACCAATAAATGCCCTGTGCATGTGCGCAGCCACGGTGCAGTATGTAAGTAGGCAGGAGTGCAGCCTAGTAGGGTGGAGAGCAGTTGGGTCCAACTGGTAAGTCTGTTGTGAGGGATAGGGTGTGGGGGGATGGGCAGATCAAGGCCCCAGCAGTGAGGGATGGAGTAGGGCTGGGGCAGGGATAGGGGCAGCACAGCTGGGGCAGGGCACAGGATGGAGCCATCTGGGGTGCGCAGGGTGACATTTTCTGCTGCTGTGTGCACCCTGGGAGGGCACGGGGGGCATGTGCCCTGGGATCTGCATGGAGGGTGAGGGAGGGCTGCTGCTGTGGGCTGGGGCCAGGAGCAGCGTCAGGCTCTTCCTGGTGGGTGGGGGTTGGGCTGGGACTGTGCGCAGGGTGGGCGGCAGTGGCACTGGGAGGGAGCTTGGGGGGGCTATGGCAAATTTGGGAGTGGCTGCAGCTCCCCTGCATAGCCCCCTTCCCAGCAATACCGCTGCCTGCCCTGAGTGCAGCACCAGCCTAACCCCGCACTGGGAAGAGCTCAGCACCACCCTGGTCCCAGCCTGCAGCAGCAGCCCACCCTCACCCTGTGAGCAGATCCAGGGGCACACTACCCCAGTGCCCTCCCAGAGTGCATGCAGTGCACCCTGTCTGTGTCCATACATGCAGGCATGTGTGGCTTATGGCACAACAAACCTCTTTTTGATGCTACAAACCATACACATTGCATGTTAAACTGTGCATGGTGCTGCTAATTTGCAGTGCAGGGGCAAAATTTGCTACCAGGATTTTTGGTAGCCACACTGTACTCAGTACAGAGTGGCTGGCTGGGGTATAGTGTGCCTCAGCACTGGGGCTCCGCAGCACGTGGAGACAGGGAAAGCCCTGGGCTGTCTGTTCCTCCATCTCTGTTTGCTCCTCCCTGGCTGGCTGGGATGTAGGGTTCCTCAGCTCAGGGGCTGCCTGCTAGCAAACCCCACACCAAGGCACCCTGTGCTCTAGCAAGTCCCAGCCCCCAACAGCACACAGAGCCTGGCTGGAGCAGCATGCCAGGAGCTGGGCATGGGCAGTCTTCCCACAGCAAACAATGTGTCTCACAACAAAGCACATGTGCAGGGGTGTGCACTGCAGCACAAAGTAGCAGCACAAATTTGTGCAGCTGCTATTTGTGCCACTGCAAGTGCATGCCCCTACTCATCTGGATGCAGCCCCTGTGTTTCCCTGAAGCACAGTATGGGATTGTAAAGGGGGCATGTTCTGTTCCCTGCTGGAGCAGCAGAGTCCAGCAAGTGACGGTATCTCCCGGGGAGGGGAGTGATGCTGGAGTTTATGGTTCTGTTCTGAGAGAAGCCACCACCACATGTACAGGCATTCACTCTCCCACTGGGAGTGATTTAACCCTGGTTGTTCCCAGGTTATTTTTCTCCTGGAGCAACCATTTTTGCTCTGGAAGAAAAATCCTGAAAGTCTGTATACTCATGGTTTCTCCTGGGAGAGCAGCAACTCTTCCAGAAGAAACTCAATGCCTGTTTGGCTTGATTAAGGAAATTTAACCAGAACACCTAAATATCCTGACCCAGAAGAAGTCCATCTTCTTGAAAACAGCAGGAAGGACTCAGGGGTAGTAATGGGTGGAGGAAGGATAATTTTATAGTTAAAGCATGGGACTGGGAATCAGGATATGTATTTTTTCTTTTCTGTTTATGCAGCCTTTCTGAATGATCTTGAACAAGCTCCCTATGCCTCAGTTTATTTAACTGTTTTTTTTCTAAATATGTATAATAATACAGGTTATTGTGGGTTTTGTTAATGCTTGGGAAGTGACTGAGATGCTCTGTTAGAAAGACCTATGGACCAAATCACGACCTGAGATTGATGCCTTGTTTTCCCTGTCTGGGCTATCCCACCATGGATTCACACCACAGTAGGGACTGAAGCGTCAGTAGGAAGCTCCCTTCCTCCAACTCATGTGGATACACATGGATGGGAAGAAGATGGAGCCTTGATTACTCTCTGCTACCCATTCTGTATATGTAGGATAAATTCATGATCTTATGCTAAGATGCAAAATACTTTTATATTGAATGAAATCAGGAAAAAAAAGAAAATTAGAAGAGAAACATGAGGTCTGAGTGCTAAATCAAAGGTGACAGAATAGGTTTATGGCACTTGAGGTCCCTAGCCTCTGTACTAAAATTTGCTGTGTTCATTGAAGTGTTCTGTTAATCAGGACAGCAGCAGGAACCCTGTCAAGACAGTGGGAAATCTATATTTAGGTACTAAATATTAATAAATGTAAAACAAAATAATAGACTATGTTTTCTGAGTCCAATATCAAAATAAGAATGATAAGATGAGGAACAGCCATACAGTCTGTTAAAAGCAATAGAAGATTCCCAATGATTGGTTCTTAAATCAGACCCTAAATAAGCGTTTGTAGTGATGTATTTTCCAGTTTTGTGGCTGTCTGCTTTTAAGTTGCTACTTGTGTCATTTTTTTCATAAAGCTAAGACCTATTTTACTTTTAACTTTCTTGTTTGCTATTTTTAAAGAGAAAAAAAAATAATTTGGACATCGTCATAAGCATCCATTTAAAATGTAGTTTCTTTAAAGCATGTTTATTAGAAATATTTATGAAAATCACTTGGCATTGGAGGGTAGCCAGTTTTTGTTGGGACCATCCTGTTCTAAACACTTGTCCCAGGTGTCCCATTAGTTTCATCAAATGACTGCATTTGTCCTTTTTTCAGTGGGATGCCCAGACCTGGAGTTTAAATGGGACCACATCCCCTCCCCTGCTCTTGGAACGTACTTAGCTAAGAGTGGGGCTCAGAGACAGCTGATTGTGTCAGAAAGCAGGGTATCCCATTTTGAAACTAGGGAAATATGATTACCTTATTTAGAAATTATAGTAGAATCCATTGGAAAAAAATAGTACTTTCTCTTTAAATTTGTTACTATATTATAAGCTTTCCAGGGTGAAATGTTTTCATCCTGTGCCTAATATTCTGTATGTGCTCTAAGAATGAAGATAATAATTTTGGCATCAGCTGAACTGTTTTATTTAATTGGTAATCAAACAAAAAAAGGTTCAAATTGATTTCCTTAAAAAACTAACCTGCTTTTATGATTGTACTTTTCAGTTAGAAAAAGGAAAAATAATACTAATTGCAGATCAACAACCCAATTCAACAGCCTGAAATTTATTAAGAACTATGAGCTGCAACAAGATAGTTAAAAAATAAGGTACCTGATCCTGTTCAATCTAGCAATGTAAGCAAGAATTGACACAAGTTCATAAATAGGATTTTTTGTATTTAAAAGAATTACTGGCATATAATAAAACAGCCCCTGTGAACACAGCTTTTATCTTCCCTAACAAGGCTCGGCTTTTATAATGATTTGAGAAAATACTTTTATTCAGTCCTTATTCAAGGCAGGCACGGTTCTTTGGGTAGATGCAGTATCTTTTATTAGACTAACTTTATGAGACCAATATTAGTCCTTACTCAAGCAAATCTCTCATTGATATCAGTGTGGGTTTCACTTGTGCCAGGATGCAGGATACTCCACTGAAAGCAATCCATATTCACAGTGTGTTGACATTTATGTAGTTATACTAAAGGGCACTTGGTACTGTTTAATAAGAAAAGAAGTTGGTGACTGCATAAGCTCATGACTTCAGAATTGTGTTTACTGTAGAGGTTTTACAGGTGAAAGTTCATATTAAGTTTAGCTGCTGATCTCCTTCCAAACATGGCTGATGTGTATTAAGAACAGGCCCTGCTAGTAGGACAGATTTTTATTTGTATAGTAAAAGAAATGAGTAAGATTTATACTTACACTTACCTGGAAGTGCCATGGGGAGATGGAGATCTAGGTACTGTATGAGATTTTGTATCAATTCCTTGTCTGTTAATAATACTTTTTTTTACCCTATCTCTCTAGTGTTTATAGAAAAGTGCAGACTGTCGTTCCTGGTAATTTATATACCAGAGGGCTTGGGACGAATGTTGTTTCTAATTATGGAGAAGGTACTCTGTGTTCAGCATTAGAGACTACCAGTAGGGATCTAACAGCTTAATAGTTTTTGAATAGAATACATTTGCTAATATTGCTGTTACATATCATTGTGAATTAGCAAACTTACCCGTGTGTTTTCTTGTTATCACTTTCCAGATAAGTGAGAGCAGGATTTGTACAAAAAGTACAAACATTTTTCTAAATACAACCTGTACAGAATCTTTCTGCAGTTATTTTAACTATGCCTTTTAGAAAGAAGACAACTGCAATTTAATGGGCTAAACAGCTTCCATGTTTCTTGGTGCTAGGTCAGGGTATAGGGAGGGCCTAGGAGCAAAATAGAACTTGGAATGTGATCTAGCATCATTTGATTCTCACATGTCACTGAAGTAATGACATTAGCAGGCATTCTCCTGAGCTATCCAAGGGGGCACATGTGAAGGAGGGAGGTGACGGGAGAAAAGATGGATGAGAATATGGGTCTCAGAATAAGATGAAACCAGCATTTCTTATATTCTCTTTGAGTTACAGCTGGACACAGAAGTCCGGGGCACTAGCAGCCAATCAGAAATATTTTGGAATTATTTTAATATATGAAATGCTTTGGTAATATAGAGATGTGTCTGCTTTTTCTTCCACAGTATGGCAGTACTTCCTTCATTTTTTCATTTTAATTTGGCAATAGAATAAATTACCAAGAAAGGTTGGGAGGGATTCTCTTCCACAGAGAGGTAAAGAAATAAAGCCCAAATTTCAAAAGCAGCCTCTAAATTTGGGTTTTCAATTTCCTTTTTCACAATCACTTGCAGCTAAATGGAAAAAAAATGGGCATAATTTTTTTGTGAGCTTGAGTCATTAGTTCTGGTTAACATTTTGCAGAAGGGAAATTAAAATGATGGCCAAGATTTTCAAAACTGAGTAGTAATTCCATATGCCAGATTTGAAATAGTTTTAAAGGGGCTTAAGTTTCAAGGAGATGAGTGCTCAGTACTTTCTGAAAATTAGGACTCTCCAAGAGAAATCAAGTTGGTTATTCAAAAATGAAAGCACCTAAAATAGCTAGTCTTTTTAAAAAGAATTGCAAACTTTGTTCCATAAACCTTAAATCAATAATACAGAGAGGATGTTTTTCAAAAATGATAGGAAATTATTCAAATAGAATAACATTGAGTATGGACTGTTTAATGGGAATACAGAAATTGCCCTACCGGATCATTTCTAGTTCTTCTAATCCAACATCATATTTCAGACCATGGGCTGCAGCAGTTGCTTCAAAAGAAGGTGCAAGGAATCACATAAGGTTGATATTGGATGCTGTACCAGAAAGGGAGTCCCTTCCTAATCCCTTTGGTTGAAGACTTGAAGCAGTTTCTAAGCTCCTGATTTTTCTATTGCTGATATATTTTGCCCCCTTGCTGTTCAGGTCCTAGATTGTTAATAAATTAAACTCTGGTTCTAGTATAATATCTGCAGACATCTCTGCTGCTTACCCATTTCTATCACAAAAGTTGACAATTTATGCCTGCTGGTAGTTTTCTGCCTCTCCATGGATTTATGATCTGTGATAATCCATTACCCAGTGACTACTTAGTTTCTTTAGCAGTCTCTTGTGAGGGGGAGTCTTGTCAATTAAGTAAACTGGTTCACCATTATCCACTACTTCAATGACACTTAAAAAGACGTCTAATAGACTAGTAAACTACAATATTTCTTTGTAGAAACTGTGAATGAGTTACAAGAATTCTTGTGGATGGTATCATTTACTGGACCAACTCTGTGATTGGTACAGACATAGGAAAGCTTTTAGGTATCACAGAACCCTTCCTTAAGTCTCATGGTAACAACATCACATTAGCATTATAAAAAGGCAGTTGATTTGTAAAGCCTTCTTATCTTAAGACAGACATTAACTTCCTAGCTTGATGAAAAGAATGTCTAGAATGCAGACATTACAGAAATCCTGGTTGGTGCTTCCTTTAGTGCAACAGAACTGAATTTGTTTTGCAGCGGTGTCCCTCTTTGACTAAAATTGGGGACAGGATTTACTTCTCTACTAATGGCCTTTCTTAATTTGATAAGAAATGAGCATACGCTTGGCAAAACTTGAGCATCAGCTCCAATTTATGTACAAAGAAAATGGGTTCCTAGTTACTGCTTCCCATTTACAAATCAGATCTACACCTAGCCTCTTTCTCAGCAAGTGGGGAGACATCAAGAGGCAATGTGATTTGTACCTAACAAGGAAACAAATAGATTTGAGAGATGATATCAGGAATCCTTGACACCTGTGTATTATAGAATTAAGTGGTATAAGGTTCTCTGGAAAATCCCATGCAGTAGAATTGTAGGCCATCCAATTTAAGCATCCAGGGGCTAAACTCCCTATAAGCAACACCAGCGGGGGGCTACACACTGCATGGGCTGCTCTGATGTAACCCCAGGCACCCCTTCCCACTACATAGCATGTGTGGGTGCTCCACTCTTCCTGCTGCACCACATATCTGGGTGCCATGACCTCAGTTTGATCTCGTTAGCTGTAGACTCCACCACTGCATCGTGCTGCACTGGTGCCCAAGGCTATGGGATCTTCCAATGGTGGGCTGGGCCATAAAATATCACACTGCTCCCTGGGGCTGCACTAGGGAGTGGAAGCCATAAAGACTACGTCTCTGTGGGAAGCCCGGAGAATACATCCGCTGCTGCTGCAGCAGCTAGAGTAATGGGGACAAGAGAGACTGGGTGGATTCACAGGAGCCACAAATTGACCCCTTGCAGGCTGTATGCAGCTCATGCACCACCAGTTGGACAGCCCTGAAGTAGGGCATGAAGGGACACTTCAGTAGAGAGCTGAATACTGGAGGCTACTCAAGAGTTGCACTAGATGCAACAATATGGTTATGGGGCCTGGAGTGGAAGCTAGGATATTTTTTTAATTCTTACGAAACTTCTTTGTGGAAGTCCAATTAAGGAGTGCAAACTCCTTAATTGGACTCCAGGCAAAGATTTAGGTGTTTAAGACCTGTACCATGAGAACTTTATGGAGAAATATTTAATTTCTTGTGCAGATCTGAGAGCAGTTTCTTGACCTTCTCATACTCAAATTAACATTTAAATTATCATGTGTTGAATAATAGCTTTTCAACATTTTTTCACTCCGTTTTGAGGGCTTGTAACCCTCATTTTTGCTTTAAATAGTCAATCTATTATGTTGAACCTGGTAGATTGATTGCTATATGCCTACTATTTAACCAAATACTGTAACACTATAAATAGTATAAAAGGCTCTGGTGGGGACAAAAATATAATGAACAAAGCTGAAGTTGTTAAAACACACTAATAAAAACATCCTATGAAGCTGCTTTCTTTTTCATATCACAGAATTACCAAAGAAGTTGATGTTAATAATATAGACTATCCACTTCTTACGGTCTCAGAAGAAATAATTTTAAGACATTTAGTCCAAAATGGGAATAATACATTTTACAGGATTTTTTCCCCTGTGCATTACCACTTCTGCTTTGTTCTATGAATCCCAAATCAGCCTAATTGTCATAATTTATTCGGTAAACATTGTTATTATGTAGGTTCTTGGGCAGATCGTTCACCACTGCATGAGGCAGCCAGTCAAGGACGTCTCCTCTCTCTAAAGACTTTACTGTCACAGGTAAGTGGCTATATGCTTCTTAAAATTGTTCTCTTTTTTATCTTATTTCAATGCCAGTTTCTTAATGTATGATTGCTTTGTTACTCTCCCCATGCAAAACTGTAGAACTCTATTAATTGGGGATTTTTTACACTATGAAATATAAATACACTTTAAAGGTATTTTCCCATCGGTTTTAATATCTTTTAAAAATATCTATTCTGAATATTTTGGTAAATGTAAATATTATCACTCTTTGAGTGTTGCTATTCAGATTAGAATGATGCTTTTACAGACCAGGGGGCATATCCAGCCTCTTCCTTTGCAGCCACATAGGCTAGGGACAGAAATTACACTTAAACTGGTATAAGTGATTGGAAACTGGTTCAAGTCTGTAACACAACAGAAATTCAGTGCACGTAAATTGCTTTCAAAATGGCTGAAACCGATTCAAGAGAAACCTGGATAGATGTAGTATCAGACTTAACTGATCTAGGTTTAATTGGTGTATTGAACTTCTGTCCCAGATCCCCTTCAGATTTAAGTTCTCATAGTCCCCTGACATCCCAGGATGCTTTGCATACCCCCCTGCAAACCCCCTCTCATGGAGCGGGTGGATTAGCCTTGCCCCAAGCTATCTGCTCCAGCCAAGGGAGGTGTGCTCTAGCATCCCCCAGCTTTTGTCCTGGACCACTGCAGGCATGTTGGCTGCATTTCTGGAATCAAAAGTGAATGCCTGTTCATTTATTTATCAGTTTAATCTAAGCAGCTTAGACTAACCTGTGAAGATTGAATCAACTCAGCCTTGGGCTTTTTGACCGTCTGTACTTTGCCATAGTGTGCAAGAGACAATGGAAATTCTGCTGGAGAAGAAAGCAAATAGATTTTGAAAATTGATATCACGGATCCATCTGTGTTGTATAATATTCAACTGTGTAGGGTTCCCTGAAAAATCCAATGCTTACTCAAAAATAATTTTAAAGCAATAAGTTGAAAAAGAAATACATCTCAGAGGGGTCCAGTTGGTGCACCAGTTTTAGTCAATGCTATACCTAGAAGCACATAGGCTAGGGACAGGCATTTAAAAAGCCTGAGCCTGAATTGATTCCATTTTTGCAGGTTAGCCTAACCTGGCTAGGCTAAATCACATTGTAACTGCACAGACATCCCAGACATGCAGACACATGCCTGCAGTGGCTCAGGCTAGAAGTTTCCCTTCCATAGGGCTGAGTTGAGCGGGGTGTGGCCAAACCCAGGCAGGACTAGAGAGGGGTCTCCCCTCCCCTCCTGAATAACAGAGAATTTATCAGCTCTTTTATCAGCATTTATTACCCCACCAGAAAACAAACAGATTCTATCATTAGTTCAAGCTCTCTTAAACAAAGAAGGAACAGAGGGACACTACCAGCTGAGCTGTTGATTAGCTCCAAAAAGCCCTAAGCCAACACTGCTGTTTGTCATAGCTTGGACTGTAGCCAGCATGTGGTCTGCTGGCTAATGCTGAGGTGTCTGTGTAAGGCAGAGGGGATGGGGGGTAGCTGCTTAGCAGGGAGTGGTGAGGGGAAGGGGAGAGCAGGAGGAAGCCAAGCAGCTGCTGCTGTGTCTGCAAGTCTCTGTTGGAGCTGCAGGCAGGGAGCAGAGGGGAGAGGCCAGCCCTGCTGTGAAGCAGAGAGTCCTGCACAGCCCAGAAAGTATGCCGGGATGCTGGGGGAGTCTGATTTATCTTAAACCAGCAAGGGGTCTGGGACAGACATTGCATAAACTGGTTTGACCCAAATCAGTTAAGTTTAATACTATATTCAGGCAGATTTATTTCAAACAGTTCCAGCCATTTTCAGACTGGTTTATGTGCACTGAACATCTGTTCTGTTACAGATTTAAACCAGTTTCTGATCACTTAAATCAGTTTATGTGTAATGTCTGTCCGTTGCCATACTGTCAAAAATATTCTGACTTGGTGTGGTCTTTGAGTTCTTTGCAGCATAAGAATTTCTCTGTAATTTTAACGTAGGCAAAAAGATGCCTTGACTCCAAAAGGACTGAAAACCACTGATCTAGAACAAGGAGTAAAGAATTAATCAAGGGGAAGTATAGCCTAAACAGAACAATCAACCTGTCTGTTGATCAGGAAAAAAAGCCTCAGGAGTTACTGAGAGAAACTCACTGAGGTTGACTCTTATGCACAGCAACGATAATAATAAAAAAGAATAAAGACAAACCAATCATGTTTTCCAATAGCAAAGGTACAGAATGCAAAATTAGCAAACTATTTATGTGGCAGTAGGATGTGTGAGTGGTACACTGTACTGTGGATAAAGTATGGTATAAGCCAATAAAGATGGGGTATCAGTTCTTAAGAATCTTAAGAAAACTGCAGAGTTCAGTTCTTTGATTAGTCTTAAAAGACAAAAGTGCAGAGTTCTTCTGAAGTTTAAGTTTAGGTAGCTAGGAAGCCCACACATTTCAAACCTGAGGCTCAAGCCATTAAACAAACCTTTTCAAGTAAACTCTCTTGTGGTTTTCTAAATTGGCTGATGGAAGATTATGTATGCCTCAACTCTTTTGTGTTCACTTAAGCTAAATTTGTCAAATGACGAGATCATATAGAGAGTGTTGTATGCAACCCATTGTAGAAAAAGACTTCATGGTTTTGAATTGTTTTTTTTATTTATCCTTGTACGTGGTTTATATTTTATTTAGGGTTACAATGTAGATATTCTGACAATTGATCAAGTCACTCCACTGCATGAGGCCTGCCTAGGAGATCACGTAGGCTGTGCAAGAATTCTTCTTGAAGCAGGAGCAAATGTAAGTACCCTTCCACTGACATGAAGTATAGTGCTGGCCTTGGTCATTTTAATGGAGTGATTGTAAAGGACATATTCCTTGAATTCTTTTTTTCTCTCCAAGCCTCTCCATATTCTCTCTCCCCCTAACATGCTCATATGCTTTGTTAATGACAGTGAGTTTGTGTTTTTGTTTTTAGATTATTAGTTGATTAAATTGAATCTTCTGAAAGCCAGCAAATCATGCAACAAAGTAAATGAATGGGTGAGAGATAAGATAACAGAAAGAGAAGACAGAATTAAAAAAAGGGGGGAAAAGACTGTGTGTGTGTAGGACCAGAAACCAAATAGAAGATCATGACAGTACCATGATATGTATGAGGTGAGCAGTCTTCCCAGTTTTAGAGATATTTCCTCTACTTAAAATGGGAAATTAGTAGCACCATGAAGAGCTTTATAAAAAATGTATTTTTTTAATATATAAATTTAAATAGTAATTGAGGTTTCTTAAGAGCACAAAGAACATTAGTTCTTTGGGACTGCTGGCTAATTTAAGAGCTTTTACAGTTGAAACAAGAAAAGTTCTTGAGTGAGCGATAAGAGAATCTTAATGGAGTGAATAATTTAGAGCTTCTAAGTCATTGAGAACTTGGTACCTTTGTATATATTTAGATGCCCAACTGTGGGTTTTTGGAATTTATAGTGTTCCAGGTGAGCTGTTTTCTCAAATTTGGTCCACCCAGCATAATAGCAAACTTGCTTCCATAGATGAAAAGTGTGGTGGGAAGATTACAACAGAGAAGGGCCGAGTGGAGTAAAGCTTTGTTATGTTAAACAGTGTATTTCTTGATTCATCAAGCATATTTCAACTGTACCTTAGTTTAAAATGTCATCAGGTAAGAGCACACACGCTTATGTCAGTCTCATTGTTGGACATATCTTTTATCTTCTAGGTAAATGCTACAACGATTGATGGAGTGACACCCTTATTTAATGCATGCTCAAGAGGCAGTGCGTCTTGTGCAGAGCTTTTGTTGGAGTATGGTGCCAAAGCACAGTGGGAGTCGTGTCTCCCTTCACCAATTCATGAAGCAGCCAGTAGAGGTAAGAAATTAGCTTCTGAACGTACTCAGAGCTATTGACAAATGGAATTGTACATTAAGAAATGCATTAGGTTTCATAGATGGAGTATCTTAATGAAGTGATGAACAGAATTTCTTATTCTGTTGGCAGGTCATAGTGAATGCCTGGAGGTGTTGATATCTTGGGGTATAGATGTTGACCAAGAACTACCTCATTTGGGAACACCTCTGTACGTAGCTTGTGTTTCACAGCAGATCCATTGTATTCGAAAGCTTCTTTATGCAGGTATGTCTTTACTATATAAACTCACAAAATATTAATACTTTGTGGTAAATAAACTCTCCTTAGTCAAACAGCTAAAATCTCCTTTTGTTATAAGGCTTTAATTTTAACTGTATTCCATGAACCATTTTTTCAAAAAGATTTGTCAGAGGAAACATTATGATAATTGGTGTACAGTATGGGGATGGTTGCAAATATTTTTAGGACTAGTGACCATTCCACCCCTCCCCCCCACCCCCTTCCTATTTGGAAAAAAAGCAGAATGGCAATTTTTTATTAATATCCCAGAGCAGAAAAATATTTTAACAGTCTTGTCTTTGTTTTTCCATTTTGATTAACTTTTTTTTTGTGGGAGTTGAACAAAACCAATTATTCTGCTTTAATTGCACACCCTTCCTGGGTTTAATATAGCCTCTCCATGTAGCCAAGTCCCTAGGAAGCCCTGGTAGACCAGGACTGAGGTTGTTTCATCACCATTCACAAGCTTCTATGTACAGGAGACCATAGAACTATAACAGCATGAACAAAGACTCAAAGGAGAGGAGAAAATACAGAACTGTGATTATTTTAGTTTCAAACTGTGTTTGATCCTTGTTGAAGGAAACTTTAGCTGTTCTTAAAACAATTAAAATGATGAGCAAAAAATAAGAACAGGTCAAGATAGGTTACAGCTTTTGTGCGGTTCACATGAAACGGGTATTTATACAGAAGACAGTTAATACTGAGCAGTTATTTTTTTAGCATATGCTATAAAATACAGTTTAATAAATAGATTAATAGTGTATTGAACTACAGAGCAACTTTTCTTTAAAACTGAGTTCCTATGACCTATTCCCTTTAATTTTAAGGGATTTTCTTCTGGTGAAACTCACTTTAGAATACAAAAATGCATAGCACAAGTATATGGGAATTAAAGACTATAAAAGGATCACAGATGTGACTAGATAATTTTCAATAGACTTGACAGTTTTTTGCACTTTAACTGAATAGATGTGGACACTAAACAACAGTGCATGGCAAAACAGTATCGCTTTATGGGTATTCAAGCCTAACCACTAAGTTTTTGATCCATTAGAGAATTTATTAAAAATTATCAAAGATCTGGGTTAAGGTTTTCAAAAATAGATGCCTTAAGGTAGGCTCCTACATCTACCTTTAGGGGCTAAACTATTACTTACGTCTCAGCCAGTAGCTCATATTAACCATGACTTAGGTGGTCAGAATTATTTTAATTCTGAACATTATACATGTGTTCCCAAGAGGAATACCAGCACTCATTTTAAAAACAGAATCTTGAACCAGATTTGTTAAGATTGCCTTTTAGTGCAGGCCACCTTAAATTAATCTATTTCTTTCTCTTTCCTATATGCACACATACAAAGGTGCTAATGTACAGAAAGGAAAGCATTTGGATACTCCACTACACGCAGCTGCTCAACAACCCAGTGCAGAGATAGTGAACTTACTTCTTGAATTTGGTGCAGACATTAATGCCAGGAACACAGATTTTGAAAGGCCTATAGATTTAGCTCCTCCAAGGAGTTTGGTGGAGAGAACGTTGCTTCTCTACGAAGGTAAGTGATATAAAATACTTTTTTCATAATTTGATACCTTTTGTCCTCGGACAGAGTGATAAGACTGTTAATACTATTTGATATTTCATTTGAAAAATAAATATTCGTTTAATCTCCAGGTATGTAATATATATATATTTTTAAAACCCAAGCTACATCCTGATATGTTCATGGAACTCCATTGGAATTTAAAGTAGCTGAAGATCTGGCCTCGTATGTTTAGCAGGTGGTGACACAAGCCAATAAAGACTAGCAATTTCAACTTATGGCTAACATGCCATTTGCTTACAGAAAGACTTGGATATTTTAACTGTATCTAAAGCAACAGTTTGAGGAAAAGTTAGGGTAACTCAGGGGCTTAACTACCACAATTTGTCCTCTGGCAGCAGTAACAGTGCTACTGAGCTGTGCTGACCGTGGTACCAGTGGCAAGTGCTATTCTTGCTCCCCCTTTAAGTTGGCATCCAGGGATGATGCCCTGGTTGCCCATTGCTTGTTACACTACTTGAATGGCAACCAAAGATCACCATCAGGGCACATTCTCAAAATAGGAAGCCTAGGCTTTGAAGGATTTGTGTAACTAAATTTGAAACCAAACTAACCATTTGTATCCAGCTATGTAAAGTTCAGGCATGATTGGGAATGATGTCAAGCCTATGTACATGTGCAATTCTTTATGCACTTTTATGCACAGGCTTTGGGCCTCCTGTTTCAAAGATTTTTATTCTACTACCTGAGCTTTTTCTGACTTTGCTGACAAACAGAATATTAGTTTAATGGATGTGTGTATTGCTTACCCATTTTTATTAATGGATTTTTTAAAAGAAAATATACATCCTGAAATGCACCTTCAATCTCCTGTAAAAAAATGCCATTTGAACTACATTTATTGCCATGTATTTTAAATCACTGGTTCCCAAACTGCTTCATAGACTACTTGTGGTCTGCAAGTATATGGTCTACAAATAAAGATCCAGAATGACCTAGATAAACTAGAAAAATGGTTCACAATCAAATGAAATTCAAAATTCTTGCACTCGGGATAGAAGAACTGTGTGCACAAGTACAGATGAGGAAATGACTGGCTAGGTTGCAGTGGACCATAAACTAAATATGAACCAACATGCTCTTCTTGCAAAAAAGCAAAACAAAGAAACAAACACAGCATACTGGGTTGTATTAACAAGAATGTGCTTGCAAATAAAAAGAAGTGATTCTTTCACTTTCTTCAGCGCTGGTGAGGCCTTACCTTGTATACTGTGTTCAGTTTTGGGCCCCACTTTTTAAGGATATGGAAAGATTGGAAGGAGTCCACCAGGGAGCAGTGAAAATGATTAGAGGCCTGGGAAGCATGATTTATGAGGAAAAGGTAAAAAAACTAAAGTTATTTAGTCTGGAGAAGAGAGGACTGACAGGGGATTTAACAACAGTCTGCAAAGACCTGAAGGATAATTATAAAGAGAATGGAGATAGTCCTGTCCCCTATGGTCATAAAGAAAAGGCTAAGAGCAATGGTCTTAAACTGGAGCAGAGGTAATTTAGGTTGGAGATTAGGAAGAACTTTCTGACTCTGAGGATGGTCAAGCATTGGAACAGGCTACCTAGAGAAGTTGTGAAATCTTCATGCTTGGAAGCTTTCAAGAGCAGATTAGACAGATACTCGGATGGAAGAGTGTAGTCAGGATGATCCTACCTTGAGCAGGGGGTTGGACTAGATAACTTCATGAGACCCCTTGTAGTTCTACTTTCATATGATCCAATGATGCCTGTTGATCCATTAGAAATTTTATGGGCTTTCAGTGGATTGTTAGAACAGAAAGTTTGGGAAACAGCGTCAGAGACAAAATCTTGTTTATTTTAAAACTATATTTTACAGTTCTGTTCCAGTGTGCGGGTTAGAAATCTATTCCTCAGTACTTGCATTTGTTGTTTAGATTATGAGAAGAACGTATTTAAAAAAATAATTTATTATTGATACAGTCACATGCAGCTTTAAAACTATCCATTATGTATTATCATTGAATAGTATACATATGAAAGACATGGTAGAATCAGATTCTATATTTTATTCCTCCAAAGCTAATATAGAATCATAGAAGAGTAGGACTACAAGGTTCAGAGGTCATTCAGTCTAATCCCCTGCTTGTGGCAGGATCATCCCTCTCCAAGCCATCTCATACAAACCTTGTCTAACCCTCAATTTTTCCTGTTTGTTTGAGCTTTAGTCAAGTTTGAGTTGCCTAATTTTTATTCAGCAACACACCTTAGAGAGAAAATATTGTGTAAGGTCAGTAAGACTGATAAAGCATTTATAAAAAATTGCATTATGTATGAAGGATTCCAAAATAATATAAACTATGCTCTATCTTGTGAACATTTGCAAAAACTGAGTATTGCATTTGCTGAATTACCTCTTGTCTGTTTGCAGCTACTCCGTGTTCCCTTTGCCAGCTCTGCCGACTGTGCATCAGAAATTACATAGGAAGAACTAGACTGCATCTGGTTCCTCAACTTCAGTTGCCAACAATACTGAAGAATTTCTTGCAGTATAGATAAAGTAGTGATTCACTTTTAGAGATCAAATAATAAGTCTGTTTTTGTCTGTATACTGTATGTTTCACATGAAGAACTTCTGGGCAAAAGACAGCCTTTACATATTCATTTAATAAGTCTTTGACACCAGGAGTTGCAACATAACTCTTTGGAGCCATTCAGTAACTTGGTGCCAAGGTGCTAATACCACTGAGTAAAATGGTGTGTGCTAATACTCTGGGAAATGACTGTATAGACAGCTTCAGCTTAACACTTACTAATTAACTGTACACTTAGTAATTAACTGTAGTGCTGTTAAGGTTAACTTTAATCGTATTTATACTTTATAAGTGCTTGATATACCTGAAAAAGAGAGTTTATCAAGGGTATTGTTGAGTTTGTCAGTTTGGTTTTATTATTTTAAGTATTTCTAAATTTCTGTTATTTTTGTGCCTAGAAATACATGGAGATAGGCAAGCTCTATACATTGAAAAAATAAAATAAACAAACCTTAATATTTCCTTCTTGCTTTCCCTATGTAGACAACTTATAAATGACAGCTGGTGGGTACTAATTTCCATTTCCAACCATATATCATGCTAAAGCAGACAGGTAATGGATAGGTAAAACGATGTTCCCATCCTTTCCAACACAAGGTCCACTGTCAGCAGAATTAAAGAAATTCAGAACCTGAATTTTCCCTGATAAAGAAACAGAAAATGTTATGATTATCAGCCATACTGTTGAACCCAACATTAGTCCTCCTGAGCTCTGAAAGCTAAGATGATGCACACTTTCACTGTTCTACATTTACCAATACCATTATGTCTTACTGTAGCATTTATTTGAGGAGGAAGCCCTAGAAAAAAGTGTAATTAAAGCCAGAAAAATATAAAAGCGCATGTCTGAACAGACCTTGCATTCTATGCATCCTCATGCCTCTGGGCAAGAGTATAAAGGGCGTGCACACACAAACCTTTGTTGCTACCTTGTCACCACCTCCACTGTCTTTTGGAACGTTTCAATTTGCCTGAAATGTTACATCTAGTAACATTATTTTGGGCCTTGTACCAGGTGCTAATTCCAACCAAAACCAATTTATTAAGTCCTTAGCAAATGCAATTCTAAATTAGGAATAAAGCATTTTCAGCAGTTACAATTTGATACTGTAGCTAGTCAAAGCAAATGATCACCACCCCAAGATACTGCGAACACAACTTCACTGGTTGATCAGGCCGTGAGGTCTTGTCTGGGAGCTCCTGGCTTCCCAAAGCCTTCTGGGTCCAACAGGGGCTCATGGTGCTCTCATTCTTAGCAATACTCTTTTACATGCAAATAGTTTACAGAGCTAGTTAATTATGATATACAGTAGTTTTACAAAGAATGAGCCAGGAAAAAATATTGTTTTCCCTAAAGTCCTATGGTATTTTCTTTGATATAGTAAAATGTGCAGATACTCCAGGCCTCCTTATGAAGCTGTTATACCCACAAGTAATGGATAAGCATACTAAATTCTTGGATTACCTTAGCAAAAAATGCAAGATCTGCAAGTCTTTTTAGAAGAGAACTGAGAATCCAGAGTTGCATCTTAGAGACTGATGGAAACAAAAATATATACACCCCACCTCTGGCCCTGGACACTAAAAAGATGAAATAAAAGGCTTTTGTTTGCCTAAATGAATCTGCCAGCTCCCTCTATTTATCATACAGCACATTTTGAGAAGAGCCATCTTTCCCAAAGCGATGTCCAAGGCCAAATCCTCATATATGACCTATAAAGGTTCTAGAAGACATCCTTTGCTTAGAAAATCTGCACCTGCTACCAAGTGCAGAGTGAGCATATTCCTCTGATGCTTTAGTCCTAAGAGAATGACATTATGAGCCTCAACAGCTATACTGGCAAGCTTCAGGTCAACCCAGGCAAGAAGCATCGCAAATCCCATGAGAGAGAGATCCAACAGCTTCAGTTTTAGCTTTGCTTTAGCCACCTTATACTTTCAAATAGCCTAATGCACTGCTTCATCAGAATCAGAGTACTATTCATTTGCATTCCTCTTTCCATTCCTCCTTTTGGGAATCATTTACCTTATTTACTAAGTGCCAGGAACCTTTTCCATGGGTTCCTTCTTACTACTATACATTCAAAGCTTTTGCATTTGAAGCCCCAATTTAAAAAGTGTATCAAAAATAAAACTGGATCATGCCAAGATCATCTTATTAGTTCTAGCACAGCCAACACAATATGGTCCTGTGACCTTTAAATATTGTCAGTTCAGCCCCTTCACAAATTGTCACTAGTCCAGGATGTGAGTATTAAGATCTTGACCATCTCCTAAATCCCAGCCTGGAAAGCCTTCATCCCAGACCCTGAAGATTGAATAGCAAACCCATTTTCAGAAGGATGACTCTCAGCAGGTTCAAGACAGATTTCTGAAAGAGTAGAAAGGCTACAGCAGCATGGCTACCTGTCCAAATGAAAATGTTTTTAATTTGGACCCAATTAAAAGATTGTTCCCTTTGTCTATGCAGGGCATTTTGGATTACCTGCTATACTTAAAAGTAGTATTTATTCCAGAAGTGTGCTTTAGCAGCTATTTCAGCTACTTACCCTCCAATATAAGGGCATGAAGTTCTCTCACATCCCACAATTGCAATATTTTTGAGGGGATTGATTTGAATTTCTCCTATTAAGGAGCTCATTCCTCCTTGTGACTCACAACACTTATGGGTCTCTTCGAACCTTACAGTCTATCTGTTCTTTTGTCATATTTATTTGCCATTGTGACTTTTCTAATCAGTGTAACTTTCACCAGGGTGGTAGGAAAGCTTCTCAGGGTGGTAGATACACAACACAGCAGTTCAAAAATAAGTTACTGCTAAGTCCATTGCAAGTTTATAGCCAAGGTAGTTTCAGATTTACATCTTACTCAAACAATTGACTTACCATGCTATTTTCCCCCATCAAGTCAAGTCAAGGAGAAACTATATGCTAGGAATATACACTTCCCTTTTGTTCTACATGCGCAGAATAAAGGACTTCAGAGCATCACCTGGGCTATTTGTGGCAAAAAGTAAAAAAAAAAAAAATTCACAATGAACTACCCTTTGCAGAAATCCTGTTACAACATATCCAAGGTGAAACCACCAAACAAGCTGACTGTTCACTGTACCAGAGCTCAGGTCTCTTCTGTAGCTTTTCTAATTATACATTTGCAAGGCAACAGCATACTCATCCATTCATCTATATTTTTACCAACTGTTGTGCCATCATATTCACCTCTAGATCTGATACCTTCTTTGAAAAATCCATGTTGCCTCTGAAACCTTACAACCAGCAGGAACAATGCTTGGTAACCAACAAGTTAAATGTGTAGGAGCACTTGAATAAAAAGAAACAGACATTTAACTTTTTGTAAGGGAGGTATGTGTGTGTATGTGTACCGATATATTCCAGTGAGAGATGTGTGTGTCTAGTGCACCCAAGTTAGAACCTACTATTAAAAGGCTTATGAGGGTAGCACAGCTCGTACTTTTGCCTTTCACTGAAGGCACAAAGGGGGCAGCGTTGTTACAGCTTCCTCAGTTACTTTACACTACAATCCCTGTAAGGTTGAACTCTGAAGGAAAAAGCAGCATGGAATATGTATGTGCACATGTTTTGAAGACCAACAGTTACAGAAGTGGTAAGAAGCTGTTTCTTATCAAACTGTCAGGTTAACTTTAATGATCTACTTATGAAGTCTAATCCATTTCACATTACACAATCTACCACCATTTATCTGTAATGCTTTTCCTTACTCTTGCAAAATGGTTGGCTAGGGGACTTACTCCCATTGGCTGCTGAGTTATCCCTCAGCATTGTCATACACCTCTGGTTTCATCTCTTATTTCCATTCCTCAGACCCCTCATTTAGATCAGCTTCCTCAGTCTTAATATTATGCAGTATGAACATGCCGGGAATATTCTGTTAACCTTCTGAGGAGCATAATTATAATGTGCCACTAGAATGACATTCTGGTGGATCTTGGAGCATAGTGTATTTGTTTCATGCCCTTGTTTGAAGACTAATGATGAAGTTGAGAAATTGCTCTTGGATAGACTATCCTGACTCTTAAAGGAAACTAGATCAATTATAGACTTCATTACTGACTTCAGTGTGAATACCTCCATCTGAAACTATTATGAGAATGTTACTTTGGCTTCTCTTCTTCCCAAGAATGGAGTGAGATTCAGAGGCACCACTTCTGAATGCAGGGACAGTTTGATATCAGGACAGTGGATCATAGCAGAACCTAAGAAATATATACACAAATGCCAAATTATGATCTTGCTTGCTTTTTGTTTCCCTGTGTACATACTTTTGCATATACTATAAAAGTGATTTCAATAAGCAGCATAATTCACCAGGGAAGTCTCAGGGATACGTGTATGTTATGTACTATAAACAATGGCAAAAACTAATTCCTTGACTCCTGTTATATATTTACGCTGATGCAAATAAGTTGCCTTCTTCACTCTAGTATTTTGGAACTTTTCTCCCAAGGTACCTGGGCTGACCCTGGTGCTTGGCCCTTTCTAGGCCATCTGTTAGTACATAATAGCTTCTGGAATAAGCCTGTAGTTTGAGGCTCCTTAATTCATGTCATAACTTTATCAAACAGCAAGAATGCACTTTTTTGTAGAAAACAATGATTAAATCAAGCCTTCCTGGCCAGCGAGTTAAAATCGATTTGACATACTGATTTGATATAATGGAGAAGTCCGGGCTGGGTCATGCATGACTACAGGGCTCTGGGAGCTGGGCTCAAGAGTCTGGGGGCACGGACAGTTTTCTCTTCAATCCTCCCTGTTGCAGGACATGGGCTCCAGAGGGATAGGTGCATTGGCAAGATGAATAGAAGACTCCAACGATAGTGCTATTGCAAGGGGTTTGGCTTCCTTGACCATGGTCCACACTTCAGAGAGCGGACTGTTGGGAAGGGATGAGGGCTCTGGGAGCTGGGCTCAAGAGTCTGGGGGCACGGACAGTTTTCTCTTCAATCCTCCCTGTTGCAGGACATGGGCTCCAGAGGGATAGGTGCATTGGCAAGATGAATAGAAGACTCCAACGATAGTGCTATTGCAAGGGGTTTGGCTTCCTTGACCATGGTCCACACTTCAGAGAGCGGACTGTTGGGAAGGGATGGCTTCCATAGTTTCATAGTTGGTAGGGTCGGAAGGGACCTGAACAGATCATCAAGTC